GGCCTTCGACGATCCGGTCAGTTAAACTAACAGGAAGTCCTAACGGAGAACCCGTGGCCGTCAAGTCGAGTCTGACCTCCAAATGGAGAACGGCTCCCCAGCGTTTCTGAGACTGCAAATCTTGATGGGAACAGAGAGCCTCATGTTTCTCCTGAGAAGTGGATGGTGGGTTTGAACCACCAATGTTGGAAATTTGCAGCCCAACGCCTAAGCCGTAGTCTGCTTTCTGGGCTCCTTTGAACAGGGCTTTTGTACTTCCATAAAGAGCGATTTTCTTGGAAACTCAGAGGAGGCAGTTCTACCCTGTCCTTTAGGATCGCTGAGTCGGCATCCACTCTACGACAGTGAGTTTGGTTTGGGGGTTTTTAACAGAGTCAGGTGGGCCCTTATTTGAGAGTTTCCCATAAAAGAGACGCAGGAGGACGGCGACAGGATTACCTTGGAGCTGCAAGTCGGGGACATTTGGGGCTTCCAGAAGGCAAGAGAAAGGACCTTTCCTCCTGAGCAATGTTTCTCAAAGTGGGTGATGTCACCCCTGGGAGGGTGCTGTAACCATGGGGGTGGAGGGCACTGCAAAAGCAGATTGCTACAGTTTATCCTGGATTAGGAGCTATAGCACAAAAGTTTTTAATTGCTGGGGCGGGGGGTGCACATGACTGAGTAAATTTCGCCCCCCGAAAAGCGGGCAGCAGACTAAGTTAAGTTTGGGGGTCTAGGTCCTCGAGCTGTCAGTGAGAACAAGGGCGGGCTGACACCCTTTGCGCAGACTCCGAGCTGTGAGACACTATCTCTCCGATCTGGTAAGCTGCCCAGTTTGTGGTATTTCTTCATGGCAGCGGCAGGAAATGCATACAAAGACCCCTCCCTGTCCAGGCTTCGGGCATGATAGTATTTCCAAGTCTCTGTATAACCAAACCAAACTCACTGCCAGCGAGCCCGTCCTGAAACGTGGCAAGTCTGGTTGGCACCGTGGGTAATGAATTAGAGGGGTCCCTGCAAGGCCAGCAGCTCAACACTACCAGCAGCCGCTCTGAAGGAACGTGAAACAAGGAGAGGTTTTCTACTACCACAGAGAGTCCCAGTCTCAGGAACACCCCGGGGCAGTTCTCCTCTGCCCTACAGCGCGGCTAAGAGTCTGAGCCTCCACATGGGACCTGGCCTCTCGCCCCAGCACGTGGCGACTAAGACAGGGCCTTCTGGATGCTCAGGTTGGGTTCTTGTCTCCCCCCCATGGTTCCTGCTTTCACGGCGATACAGCAAACACGCCTCTCCAGTCAGTAACAGAAGGGGAAGCTCCACCTCTGGGCACGGTTCAGATTCTACTGCTTAGAGGGTTTGTCATCTGCCTCTGGGGTAACGGCGTTCGGGGTTGACTACTTCAACAGCCGGGCTGGTTGGGAAATACAACAACCAGCAGCCAAGGCCCATGAGGGGCTGGGTGAGTAACGGTCTCAGAGACGAAGTAAGCCCTCACTTCCTCCTCTCCTAATGCCTAGCTGAGGCAGCTCCAAAGGTCCCCAAGATGGCCCCGCTGGCCCTGCGTGGGAAGAGGACATCACGGCAGCTTGTAAAGGAAACCAGGCCGAGGAAAAACATCCCGAGGAAACACCATGACTTTCCTGCAGGGACACTTCCCTGGTGGCCACCCGAAGGGACTAGACAGCTTGCCCAAGACATTCCTGATGGCAGAGGATGAGTCACCCGCCCCCCTTTCACGGATGACACCCAGCGCTGCCTCCTCAGTCCTGCCAGTTGCCACCAAGTAGGCTCTGACTCATGGTTACCCACGCATCTCACAGTGAGCTGCATTCCACAAGGATTCCCCGAGCTGGTTTTTAATAGAGGGTCACCAGGACTTTCTTCTAAGGCACTTCTGGGGGGACTCAAACCTCCAACCTTTCCGTCAGCCATCTGCCAACCCTGTGAACCAGTGGTACCACCCAGGGATTTCCCAAAGCCCTCAAAAACTGACTGCTACCAAGTCAATTCTAAGTCTCAGAGTCCCTAGAAGCGCAGCGTGAGGCTGTCAATCTTTACAGATGCAGAAAGCCTCGTTTTCCTCCCAGAGAGCAGCTGCTAGGTTTGAACTGCCAGCCTTGTGGTTAACAGCCCAATGAGTGACCCACTACCCCACCAGAGCTCCCTGCTAAAACCCTGGCCTTCTGGTCCATGAGAATCTTGCCCAGTCAACACTCAGCACTATGGGAAGAAAGGCAGCCCCTGACCTAGGAGGGCCTGGCCTCCTTCTTTGATTGGTTTACAAGAGAAGCAGGCGGGGGACCCAACTTGTCAGTCGGCTCAGCCCCGTCAACCTGGGAAAGTGGAGTAACCAGGCCTGTTGGCCTAAGCTCCCATGGCCTGTGCACCGCATGTGCCCAATGCCTCCCCCTTTAAAGAAACAGGAAACCAAACCCACAGCCATCAAGTTGATGCTGACTCACAGCGACCCTGTTAGACAGAGTAGAACTGCCCCCCAAGATTTGTAGGAGAAGAAAGCCCCGTCTTTCCCCATCAGAGAAGCTGTGGCTTTGAACTGCTGACCTGGCAGTTGGCAGCCGTGTGGGCTCCAGAAGAAACAGAGGGAGACCCAGTAATGGCAAAGGAGTACATGGACCAGTGAGTGAACAAGCCTGTGAATGGCATTACTCCAGGGGAAGGCCCAGCACCAAGTGCACCCCTGCAGGGTGGTGGGAGTCAGTTAATCACTGAGCAGCAGTTCCAGCTCACAGTGGCCTGGACATTCGCTACAGAGTAATAAATATGCCTAGGTAAGCCTGTGCTTACCTGGCTGGATGGGGAATCCACCTGCCTAACAGTGAAATGCTCTTGGGTTCGCCTTCCCGAAGAGCCGTTTGTTAGCCCGTTGTGTGGGCGACTGCATCCACCCCTCTCCCTGAGGCTTCCCTCCTTTTCCTGACTCTCTACCTCTGTGGTCACAATGCCTCTGCTAGCGACTGCTTTCCCCAACACCAGGTCCCAAGCAACAAGCAGAAGCCTCACCGGCACGCTTCTAAGGCCCCTGTTGGTGGGAGTGGTTACCTCCAAGTGCTGAAAGAGGAGCAGCTGTCCCGGGAGGTTCTGCAGCTTAGTAACGATGAATCCGGATTTGGACCCAGTCTGGCTTGGAAGCCCAGGCTTCCGCTACTGAAGTTGCCCTCTAAACCATGATCCGACGACAAGAGGCCATTCGACTGGCTACCTGGGGACTGCGAGCCCCAGGGTCTGCAGTTTGAAACCACCTGCAGCTCCACGGGAGAAAGACTGGGCTTTCTAGTCCCATCAACAGTTAGAGTCTCGGAACCCCAGCCCCCGGCACTGACTCCCCGGTAGTGGACTTGGAGTGTTTCTAACAAGGACTCATCATGTGCTCCGCGCTGCACACCTGTTAGAGGTGAAGTGCGAATCTGGAGCTGGATCTTCGTGCTCTCAACCACAGATATTTGGGGGTGCCCGCCCTAAGCCAGGCTCTGTGTTAGGTGCTAGTGATGGACTTGCCACCCCAAGAGGCCCTTCCCATGCTACCCCAACACCTGGGAAAGCAGTAGCGCGCCGACCGTTTGGTTTTGAAGAAGAAAATGATTGGAGGGCGGGAATGGCGATGGCTTGCATCTGAGTTGCCTGTGCAATTCTCAGAGCAGCCCATCAGACACCCACCCTCTGTCCAAGCCTCGATTGCACCGGCTCCTGGGGACGGGGGTGTGAACAAGCTGGGAGACCTGCCTGCCATCATGAAAACAGTCCCTGACCAGAGAAACCCCGATCTCAAGTTCCCTGTAAAGTTCCTCCAGGTCAAGGATCCCTCCACACTACTCCCGAAGTGGGAGACTTGTGGTGGGGTTCCGTTCTAAGGACGCCATCCTCTCAGTCGGATCTCCTTTGTCTTGTTTGGCTCATTATTATCAGGCCTCTGATGACCAGTAGCTTTATTAATCTGACAGTGTGTTGAATTGAGGTGGTGGGGGCTGAGGGGGGTGGCTTCACCTGGCTAGGTCACTCATGATGGACAGCCTGGGGAGTTTCCTTTCTAGAAGCAGCTGTGGGGTACGCAGAGTCTCACTGTCATCCCTTGGCAGAACATCTGGAAACCCAGCACCTCTGATGCCCAAGCACTGTCCTTCCCGAACCAAGCACCTCAGCCCACAAATTAAGAACTGAATACAAAATGCTGCCTAGAGAACAAAGTCAAACCAGAACTTTCCTCCCCCTCTCTCTCCTCAGCAGCTGTCAAAAACAGACAGTTGTCAATCGTTGTTCACTCATCAGCTCTCAACATCAAGGGCTAATTAATGCTCCCAGCCCTGGAGTGGCCACAGCAAGACACACACCCATCCCAAGGAAGCCATTGCCATAGCAACCAGACCTCCTTCACTCTGCTCCTGGCTTTCCAAGGAGGATCCCCCAGCCCCCACCCACTCCCCGTTGGAATGATTTCCTTCACAGAGCAGCCAGCTCTTTTCCTAATTGATGGCACACAGTCCACGTTTGCTGCCTTGTTAAATTAATGAGTCACATTCACGTCACAGGCACTTAGCAGAGAGTCCCTGCACACGAAGGCATCTTGGCAAGCTGGCATGGCACAGCTGAGATGGGGCATGTGGGACATTGTTGGGCTTGAATGATGGGCTGTGGGAGCGGGGCGAGTTTGCCTGTCTGCGCACACTTTCTGCAGTGGCCCCTCACAGGAGACAGCCCAGGCAGGCCAGCTCTTCAATGGGACCTGGGATTGTGGGGACTCCCAACGCCAAACCCCAGGTGGGTCCGCAAGCTGCATCCTACACCGCGAGAGGCACTGCCCCTGATCTCGACACTCCTCGTGGGGACAGGCGTTTGGGGACAGTATACAGAAAAGGGGGAACTGAAACGACAGATGTGGGAGGAAACGTTCCAAAATCCCAAGAGTCACGCTACTGGAATCTTGCGGCCAGAAAAACACGAACCATTCTGAGAACAAACGGAGCCCGAAGGCCAAGCCACACAAGTGAGCCCTTTCGGAGGCTTACCTGGGTGGGGTTGTAGAGCTCCTGCAGGGGGCTGCGGGACCCCTTCCGACAGCAGATGTCCACACCAAAGGGATTCCTCCGCATGACTGGGGAGAGAAAGTAAAGGCTCATCAGAGAGGGCAACAAGGGCTTGTCTGAGTGAGGAGGGAGCAGACGGAAGAAGCAACCAGAGGAAGGCAGAGTAGCTGGCGTGGAACGCAAGGGGTTTCGGTTCCCAATGCTGCCCCTAACTCGTGTCTGTGCCTCGCCACTGTCCTCCCCACACACAAACCACAGAGCCAAGGGGTCCCCTCCAAGACTTGGCCACCTGAACTTTGCAGTGGAGCTGTGTTCCACAGGATTTTCGATGGCTGGGGTCCCCCCAAAGCAGATCTCCAGGAGGCCTGCCATCCGACGCTCCAGGCTGGGCTGGGGCCCTGTACTGAACCGTTTGCACTACCCAAGGGCTCCTTCTCCACGACCCCAAACACGGGTGCCTTCTAAACCATCCCAACTCATCCCATCCCGGTAGGGCAGAGTAGAACAGCCCAGGGGGCTTTCCAAGGCTATGGCTTACAAGTCAGACTGCTAGCCACCAGGTCAGCAGTTCAGAACCACCTGTCTCTCCAAGGGAGATAGGTAAGGCCTCTGCTCCC